CCTGATCGCGGTTTGGCGATGCAACATGTGTATATGGAAACTTTGATGTTTGACTTGACTTGTTTAATTTTTCTTTTTATTTTGTGTCTATGTATTTTTCATAATTATGTTTCTGGTAATGTCCTAATTGTTTTCTTTTTATGTTGTATGTATTTTGTAATTTTCTATTGTTTTTTTTATGTGTGTTTTAATGTATTTTGGCTCTTTTTTAAGGGGGAGATAATGTGGTGTATATGTGGGTATGCCAATAATAATGTACCGTCAGTACGACGAATAATAAATCAGTCCAGTACCAACCGCCGTTTCAATAACACCCCTACATTACAGATTGATTCTAAATATCTTGTAGAACAAAGACCGACACATTACTAACAAGTATTACCTGTTCATTCAAATTCTATAGGTGATCAATCCGTTGCACAAAGTACAGGGTCGACCAGATGTGTCATAAGGTTTCCATAATTATTGCATGAACTTGATATTACTTTAGTTAGCTTAAAGTAAACGAGAACGAAGTTTTATATATCTGACAAAAGTGTTAGTTCAGTGGCTTTTTATAGATCAATATGTTGTGTTACTTTTTAGGCCTTACCATTAAAAATTTAAACAGTGTTTAAAATTGTTGCATACATACATCAACACTTTTATGCCATGAATTTAGCGCCCAGTGTGTCTTTTGACAGGTTGTTTTTATTAAAATTGCATGGTTTAAATAAATAAAGTACTTGTACCGAAAACAGTGAAGTGATACATACTTATGATGAAACATATCACCACCTTGACATCCATAATATCAATCAGTGGTGACCAGAGTTAACACATATTTCACTAAACTATATTTTTGGAGTTATTACTTAAAAAACAAATTCTTCGCTTAGGGTTCTAAAAAGAACTATATGAAATAGGACTTTCGATTGCGAAATATTGATGAAAAAGACCTTTTATATCATACTAGCTTTTGCCCGTGACTCCGTCCGCGTGGAAGTAAAAAATTAAATTGAGTAGCCTACGTGTTCTTCCAGACTATGGTTTACAACTATACCAAATATTGAATTCCGTTCGGACGTTTAGGCTACAAACTCTAACAAACGTACATCCATCTAAACTTTCGCATTTATAAAATTAGTATTATTTTATTTTTATTGTAATTCTTAATAGTCACTCAAAGTAAAACGCCTTAAAATATTCAGACTTGTTGTTAACAGCTATATCTAACATAACTTTATAGTTTTCACTAAAATTCAGATTTGGAAACTTCTAGCAAGGTAACGTTGAATGTTAGGCAATAATTACCAACATCATAAATATAGGTAATTTCTACCGAGTTAGTGTAGCGTAGCGTGAACTGTAGAATTCCACTGCCGTAACACTTGTTAATACATAATAGTTGTCACTGTTATTACTAAGAGAACGAAAAGGACAATATGCTTCGATAATCGAAACACGATAGAATTGTGAAATATATGTAAATAAATCTTACCTTTAGTGAATGTCATGTATCTACAATGTAAGCAGCTCGTCAATTAATATCTGAAAAGAAAAAAAAACAATGTTGAATCTACATTAATGTTTAACGCTTAAACTTTTTAAAATGTATAACTAATCTCATTTTCGGTTTATTAAAAAATGTCGGTAAAACAATATAGCTCAGACTATTTAACATGTCTAATACTAGCGGTCGGCCGCAAACTTCGTTAACTCGGAAATAAGAAATGGTCGTCTACAATGTCCTCGCCCTACAGTGAAAATCCGAAAAAATTCTGTCCAGTGTTAGAGGTTATCCCGAAACAAAAACGACTTAGGGACAGGATTTTCATTATCAGCTACAACAGCAATGTAAACATGTTCGCGAAATATGATCTAATATTACAGACGCTCAAATTTTACTAACTGTAGTGATAGACATACATCAAGTTTCAAAGCCAGCGCGATTGTCTAGGGCCTAAGTACCTCAAACTTAAGTAAGGTTCCCAACCCCTCAGCAGGAACATATAGTGAGTTGATGATAATAATGATGTTTTAAATGTACGGTGACATATTTGCATGCATATAATTAGGATCATGATGACAATTTCAAACACAAACAAAGATATTGTAAACACACAATGAGAGAATATCTATTGTCTATCGTGTTACTGTCGTTATAATAGTATTAAATCTGTTCCGAATCTTGGCGAGGGTTGTAATAAATAAACTGTTAACCTATGCTAAAAGTATTAAATAAACGAATAAATAAAGCCCTCGCAGTATCTTTGCTCTTGTCGCAGACTTGTCCAAATGAATAAGTCTTTTCTCGTTGGTGTAGTGTAATTCAAATTGTGAAGTAGAGACTCATTAAGAGCACTGGCTACCGCAATCACGGCTTTTTGAGCACTGCCATTTCCTACAGTTGACTTCTAACCGTGATCAACTATATTCATACAGAAACTAAATTCAAGATATTTGGTATTAATATATTTTTTAAACTACCTGTTGCTCGCAACTACGTTCGCGTAAAATATAAAAAATAGCCTATACTAGTCGCAGTAAATGTAGCTTTTTAATGGTGTAAGATTTTTTAAATCGGCTAAGTAGTTTTTAGTTATATCAATACACACGAAAATACAAATCTTTATAATATTAGTATAGATAAAACTGTATTAGTAGATAAAGTGTAAGCGAATCTTGCAAATGAAGAGCGATGCAAGAAAGGTAGATAAGCGACATTGCAGATAGAGCAGGCATCAATGAACGAACACTGTTTCCCGGACAGGGAAATGGAAGGGAACGAAGGAAACTATACAAAGCGGTTTTCTTCATGTTGGAAATATCAGACATACCATACTTAACGGGTCTCCCTCAATTCTTATCCATTAAGGTCAAACATTGCTATGAGCATTGAAAGTTTGTCTACAAAGCTAAAAACTGACAAAGCTATTCTACGGCACAACAGTGATTATTGTGGATGTGATCGACACATAGCTCAGTTTGATAAACCATATACGTTTCTAAATAGGAAGCAAATGTAATTTATAAACTGTAACTCAAATGTACGTAAAGTTTACGCGACGATTACTTTACTTAGTGCGGAATGTTGTCACGAAATCAATATAAAAAAATGTTAATTAAATTTGAGAGAATTTCCCTTAATTTGTAACACACGAGTCAGGCTTGTGATCATTTTCGTTAATTCGACGAAATATTTATATTTGAAAAAATCTTACATAAAATAATTTCTTGAAAATTTTATTCGGAAAAACATAATAGATTTGATCACTAATGCAAACAGTAGGTATACACCAATAGTAAGAATTGTAGCCCATACCATACATCCTGGCTAGAAGAAAAGTAACTCACACAACATAATGGGATAATACCGGGACAATACGATAAATTAACGTCCGTCTTTTAAAGTCTTTAAAATAAACTTCCCTAGTAAAACCATCAATAGTGTCTTATAAGATATCGTATTTTACATTAAAATGCAAATTAAAAAGAATCTGGAACACAGTGGTCTACATGAATACAAAATCTATTTCCAATTTATTAAAAATAAACAAGTCTATTTATTGACTATCAGAATCACCTAACGCGGAGGCGCGGAGCGAACAGAAAAAAAAAACCATACACCGAGGACATCAACAGTAAGTGGGCAGGCAACCGTGACTCACAAACCGACAAACGAGTTTTCCATTCTCCAAATCAAAGCCCCAGCTCGCAGTTACAAGCGTAGTGATGCTATTCACACGAGGGCACAACACTACAGATAGTGTAACACACGCCGATACAGTACAGTCAGTTTCCACATAATCTGCGAACAATAGCAATACTGCATTCACTGTACCGCCCTCGTGTGAAACTGGCATGATGGAATGTTCAACGTCAGCTGGGTGCTATGAAATAATGTGGCATTAATAATATTGCCACACACATACACGAACAGGTGGGATAGAAATGTCGCTTTTATCAGAAATACATCACCGTGAAATTATAAACATTACTAGTTTTCAATCTCACAAGCAATATTTGACATTTTTTTATCTTAATTGGTTGCATTTAAATTACAGTCTCCTTTTTACCCTCCTATACCACTCGTCGCTCCGCTACTATTTATTATAACTCTGATATTTAATTATACCTTCTTCATTTAGTTTTTATTCAGACCTTTTTTAATAATTACGTCATACGTTCATTGGCATCATATTGCTAAACTGGAGTAAGTTTTTATTTGACCTTACGCAATTCGACAGTTCAACTCTGATAAGTACAGTAATTGGATACATGTTTGATACAAAAGTAATGAATGTATTTTTACAGCAAGTTTGGATAATAACGCGGATTCAACAAATTAAAAGTTATTTGACATAAATAACTTGTCTTGTTCTTGTAAATATTGAGTATAGAAATAACTCCTATGTTACACGATCGACACTTGTAATAATCATTGTCTTGTAATATCTTCGGGTTAAAAACTATCAATTAGATCTAATGAATGACCTTTTAATACAGGAAGAAAAATTGAGAATAGATGAGCGATGGAAGACGACATCTTATGTACTTAGATGTCCTACAATTAATTAAATAATAAATTTAATCTAACTCACAAGTATTTTTTTGTTTTAGAAAAGTACACAGGTATTAAAGAAATAAATCAATATCCTCATACGAATCCAATGATAATTCTCTAGTCAAATTCTGTTTAAACTACAGGTGATCACTTGAGATAAGTTAATATTACTATGAAAGAGAAGTCGAGAAAATTTATTTCCGACCCATTTGGTAATATTTGATTACAGTTTAATTATAGCTCTTCTATTCTAATATCTTGTAATATTTTGTTTAGAATTTAATTCTTTAGTTGAACAATCGAGCATTAGCCAATGGCAACACGTCGAAGCGTGCGCCGTCCGCTGTAACACCGCTGGGTACATTGACCCAAATGCTTTCTCTTTTGCACCTGTTTGAACGACAATATCTCTATCTCGCTAATGGATATGATTTTTCCACTTCTGTAGGGCTTTTCTGGTGTATTTCCGCTATAATCTATACTGATATAATAAAGAGGAAAGATTTGCATTTTTGTATGTATTGAAATAACTTAAAAACTGTTGGGTCTATTTAAAATAAAAATTTCACCATTAAAAAGCTATGCTATCACATACAGATATAACATAGTCTATGTTTTATTACTAATTTACTTTATTTCATACAGATACTATAACTTTAAATGTATAATATGTTAACCGACTTCAAAGGGAGATTGTTAATATTAAAATATGTCATGTCATATAAATCATATATTGAATACTAAAGATATTTTTTGTTGCAGGTAAGTATGGCTATCCTACACTTAAGTAACGCGCGTGCTCGTGTTTATTATTTATTATGACGCGATTGGTAAGATAATAAAACATTTATTATAAAAGTATAACGGTGGTCAGGTTATAATGTAACAGATTATATCGAAGACCAATACAATAGAGAAATACGAAAACCTGGTGGTACAACCCTAGCAGCAGGGAGCAGGATAAGCTAGGGGAGACCATTATAAACATCACTAAACAAGTTCATCCTGAATATCACAAAGCTCACAGTTGAGAGTTTTAACAGAACAGTTCAATTGTCCATTTAAACTGTGCATATGTAGGCAAAGCATTAGCTGTACAGTTCAACTGACATTTAAAATGTTTAAATCTCTCTCTCTCTCTTTCTCTCTCTCTCTTTCTCTCTCTCTCTCTAGCTAACTCTTTAGATAAAACTGTTAGTTAAAAATAAGCACCTGTAGTGGAATTTAAGAATCCATTTTCACACAACATTATGTTTAATCTTGTCTGAATTAACAGGTCCATATATTTATTTACTATGATTTGCCAGGGTATGACAGGAGTTCCAGTACAAAAAATGAATCTGGCAATGGACTACAGCTGTATATATGCAAAATAAATAAAGAAGAAAAAAATTGTATTGTTGTAAAATAAAAATAAAAATAACATTTTATCCTTAACAACACTACGACACAATCAGAAATAACAAAAGAAAAACATGTATGTATGTATTGAAATAACTGAAAAACAACTAAGCCGATTTCAAAAATTCTTTCACCATTAGAAAGGTAATTTATCTGCGAGTAACATAAGCTATAAAACCGGCAAACTACTTGAACAAAAACGCCATAGTGGGGGAAGGTTCACGCACATACACTTTCAGACAAAGTAATTGACATATTTTAAGTATATGTATTAATTGGGAATGAAAAAATGTCAAATTTTTAAAGATATAACAGACATGTATAAACGGCTTGTATAGTACTTCAATTTATTTAGATAATTCTTGTTTCATGAAACATAATACATCATATAACATTTTCCAGGCTCGTCTTTTTAGAACAATGTTACTTTTTCGTGGCATACTCAACACAAAAAAATAATAATAATCAAATAAAACTTGATTATTATAATCAAATAAGACTTGAAAATAACAACAGAAAAAAACGACAAACAATTATTACAAGTAACAACTATATTGGGTCAACAAAACTAGGAGATAAGTGTACTCAGGAGCAAACGGAATGTGGGGTACAAAGCGGGACGCAAAGGCCCACTGACTAAACAATAGCAAGAGAAAGCGCGCTCGACATCCCTTGCCTCCCAAAGAGAATGTAAAGTCAACTACTGGGCAACTAAATGTATTGTGCAAGATGTTTGCCAGGCACTTTACCTATTATTTTTTAATTTCACAGGGACAGTCATGAGCAACAGCTAGCAATAAATATTTACAAAAAATTATAACACAAACTTAGAGAATGGAAAATGTTTCAATGAAAATAAAATTGTTCTAGTAATGTTTTTTAGAACATAAAACTTCTCATGTGTTTGTAAATAATACAAAAGTTTTATCGGAAGTTTTAGAAGAATTTGGATTATTGATCAATGTGCAGTGTAAATGACAAGTTGGGACCTGATAAAATGTTATGCCTTGTTTGGAAATTTCTAGTAATTTATTAAAGAACAAAGTAATTTAGTAAATAATTGTGTTCGAACAATGAAATTATAGTCTAGTTGATTAGAAAATCATAAAGAAGTGAGTGTTTAGGTGCAAAGATAATTTATTATACAATAAAAACCTATACTTCTTATAAAGAGATAAATGAAATGTGTGTAAGTTTTCAGTTGAGGGTAATGTAAACACAAAATATGTTATTTACTTATAAAACCAAACAAACCTTAGTTGTAACTAAGTTACTAGCCTAATGTAAACTAGGATCAAGATTCAAATTTGTCTATACTAGTGGCACCAAAATAGTTAAAGATTGTTTTTGAAGTCCTTATTTGATAATTAACTATTTAAAAATAAGTTGTAATTTATATAACTTACATTTACATTAGTAAGATTAGAAAACAAGCTTTCACAAAGTTGCTGTCAATTAATAAATTTTATTATTCTAGCATCTGAATATTATCAATTTTATTTAACCTATTAACTTCTATTTCGCCGTGGGTAAACTTTGTAATGTTAATGAACCATACAACATTTCAAAATCGACAACAAAATTCTTTACTAACTTATTCACTACATCTACTAAAAGTTTACCAGTCGACACTTTTATTCGTTTCGTTTTGTACAATATAAGTTTTTAAATATGTATTATCAAATTGGAAATATCCGAAAGTATGTATATATAAAAAATAAAGGCAGTACTCACATATGAACAAAATTAAAAACTTTACTTGACTTCTGTTAGGCACAGCGAAATATAGACATACAACAAAATGGCACACCCAGAGTATATAACATTATCTGACCACAGATTACAGACGAATAGCAACGAATAGCAAACATAGATAACTGTTATGTGTGTCTAAATAATTTAGATTAGTTTGACAATTCATTTCAAATTTAGTAGGGATGTTTTCTAAAATCAGTCATGAATTTTATCATTTTTCGATTTTTATTTTTATAGAAGTTGGAATCGATATATCCATAGTTATAACTTATGAATTAAAAGAAAAAGACTATTTCTCAAATTAATAATGACCATTCCAAATAATGAGAGTAAATAAATGTTTATTACTACTACAGTCGTACTATAAGTAACATTAATTATAATTTATTATACACTATGGATCAAACATATTTCCTTACTTCCTGATCCTTCTCCAAAAATTGCCAATCCATCATTTCTACTGTTTTTATCATTTTTTGTTAAGCGACTTGGTTCCCGAGTTTTTAACTTGTCAGTGGCTAAATTCACTTAAGTGTCAAAGCCAAGAAGAAAAGACAAAAATATATATGCTCTTTGTCTTTGCTCTTTGGCGGCGGTGCATACTGATATTGAGTTTGTTTTTGATTTACTGGATGGTGGACTTATCGTGCCTGTGAGCTGTGAGTTTCTTCTCTTGCTTTTACCACGTTTTGTTGGTTAAGCTTTACCATTATAATATTGTGTTTTACAAGTTTGGCGATTGTATTTAAAGTATTAAGTTACATTTTGTGTGTTTTAGTTACATTTTGAGTACCATTTGTATTGTATCATGAAATCAGAAGTACCGACATTGAGATAACTTTTTTGTTACAGCAGTATTGCGATTTCTGTCCTGAGAAGCTGTTCGCGACAATGTCTGGATATAGGAATAATAACCGAAGAAAGCGGCTACGGTCTCGCTGGCAAAGAACCACAGTAAGTTAAAAAATTTATGTTATATTTACATCATCATCATACAATTTTACATTCGGTTGTTTTATATTTGATCAAATGTTGATTCATAAGTAATTACAACGCTATCAGTTTTAAAATTTACGTGTTACACTTTATATTATTTATATTTATACGCCCTACACGTGGTACTTTAAATGATGGTAAATGTTAATCAAGGTGTATTGTAATGCATCATTTTATTTTCAGACGTTGTTATCTAACATGATTAACACTATATCCACGAGTTTGCTAGACCGTATAAATGGTTTTCGTTCATTTAATGCAAAACATCCACCAAATCATAATTCACTCTTTGAGTCTGATCAATCCTCCGAGACTGATGATTGTAGATCACCACCACAAAAAAGGAGATGCAACAACAGAATTTCTCAACCTGCACTTCATTCAGTAAGTACCCTCAAAAGTAGTAGAACTTTATTCTTGACTAGCTGTTCCCATGAGGCTCCGACTGCATGCAATAGTGAATTTGCACATATTTTTAAACATTGAAAGTCATAAGATTATCAGAATATAAGGCATGAATAAAACAAATCATTGTGCTATTTATTTCAATGTTACATGTGGTCTGCCTTTTATGATGTTAGTTTTCAGTAGCAGCAATATCATAACTATGGTAAAACACTGCAATGGTAATTCTCCAATTACTATTACCATAGCAATCTTACTTTTTTACTGCTATTGACTTGCAGTTTTGTTCCTTCCTGTATGACATTCTAATTATCAAATTAAATACTGTGAAAATTTATGTAAAAGTGTAGGGTATTAGAAAATAATATTGTAAAAAAGTATGCTGTGATTTGTGAAATCCTATAGAACAATTTGTTTCAAAACTTTATGATAACAGTAGAGGTAGATATGTCTAATTATAAATTTAAATTAATGAATGTTTGCAGCCACATAGCAATAATGGAACTAGAGTAGTGGAAATTATAGACACAGATAGTGAAAGTGATGGTAAGTTGCTTTTTGTTTACTTTATAACTGTATCTTGGTAAACTTACATTGCATATTCCATGGCACATCAAGAATTCCATACCCCAATGCCACTCCGTAATGATTCTTGGTTATGTATCTAGTATGCTTGCCTGTATGTATTTTATGTAAATATATATTGTCTTAAGTAAGTGAATTTTTACTTCTCACAAAAGAAATAACGATTCTTACGTTAAATTGTATGTAAGTCATAGATAACTAAAAAAAAATCTTTTTTACAGGCCCCACGGAAATTCCACGCAGACAAGGATATTGGCAACAAGTAAGTGCATTGGCTATTAATTGTTTTATTTTTGTTATATATAAATACTGTGTTATTTGTTATGAAATATTTGAATGTCTGCATTTTGTACTAAAATGTGGTAATAAATAAATATTAAGACCTTACTACCATAAAACCTGACTACCATCAAAGCACAGGAAGTAGTAGAATAATTTTTAATTCAAAATATGCTACATTTCTTTACCAGATTGACAAGAGGATAATGTTTTTGTGCATATTTGAGCTAGTTGTTATGCATCTGGATTTACATGTATGTTATTTTCTTTGTAATGTTTTATTCTAGCTACCTGTAGTTTCATCATTGACATGTTACATTGCTAGAAAATACAAACAGTGAATATGGAATTGAGTTTTATATAAGTAAAAAACAAATTTGAATCTCATTCTCTATAAGTTTTTTTGCAGCAATGATACATTTTTCGTTTTGTTTCCCAAGTACATTTTAAATTATCCAATCTCTTATAAAATCAGTTTATTGGATAAAAAGTTATATAAACTTTGTTGTTATTTTATTTATATGTACATATATTTTTTTCATCAACTGCCACTTTTTGTAGTGTTGATTTTTATTTCCTTTGATCAGAAATGTTTTTAAATTGCATTTCAGGTTGATTGTACAAACAGAGCTACAAACATAAATGAAAAGCCTAGTTCGAGTGGTGCTTATCCGTCAATATCTTCAACCAGTTCTTTGCAGGACAGCAGGAGAGTTAGATCGTTGTTAAGACCTGGTAGGCTTTTAATCTTACTAAATACTTTAGTCAGTTATACAGCTGACTTTATCAACTACTACTGTTTAAGCCACTAACACATATGTTTTTTACTCTCTTCAACAGCAAGATTAATATTTGATGATACAAATAATATGTACCAGTCCTCGAAGAACTTGGGAAATACACAACAGGCTCAAAATGATACTTATGTTCGAAATACGCCATTAGAAAACATAACTCTCAGAGGGGTTGTAAAAGCGCAAGACCCTGGACCATCGAGAAGTAATAAAAATCGTAATTGTCAATCAATCTTAACCTGACTACCAGTTATAACGGTATGAAGTGAGCGTCAAGATAGGGAACATTTGTTTTGAACAAGCCTTTATTTATTTTTTGTTTGTTTGCTATGTCATCTGTGAAACATATTTAGTCTACATCAAGTCATTGACCAAACATCATATTTTTTCATGGTGTTAAAAATGTCGAATTTTGTAACAGAAAGTGATGATTTGCGGGAAGCATTAATTTTTTGTTTTCATTTGAAGATAATGCTCGTCGGGGTACATGCTCTATCAGAAGCAACATGACAAAGATGGTGTGAACAGTTCAGAAATAATGCTTTTGATGTCAGAAATGAAGAACGTGGAAGACCACCAAAAAAGTCTGAAGACGCCGAATTAGATAGAGATGACATTTTGTGTCAGAAGCAAAAAAAAGTTTAAGGTTTAAAAGCTATGGGAACGAGCCAAGTATGGAAAATGGATGCTACATGAATTGAATGAAAGACAAAATACTTGTGAAATTTTGCTTCAAATACAAGAAAGAAAATCGGTTTTGCATCGGATTACTACTAGCGATGAAAATGGATTTATTTTGAGAATTCTAAATGAAAAAAAATCATGGGTTAATCCAGGACAACCATCAACATCAAGTAGATAACCAGACCGATTTGGCTAGAAGACAGTGCTTTGTGTTTGGTGAGACCAGAAAGGTGTGGTGTACCACAAGCTTCTAAAACCTGGTGAAGCCGTTAAATACTGATCGCTACCGACAACAAATGATCAATTTGAAACATGCAATGATTGAGAAACAACCAGATTGGGCCAAAAGAAATGGCAAGGTAATCTAAGGTAATTTGCTCCATCACAATGCACCTGCACACAAAGCAAAACCGGTTCAACCTGCCTTTCACCAAACTTGGCTCCTTCCGACTACCATTTGTTTTCATCGACGCATTGGCTGAGCAGCACTTTGATTCCTACGAGGAGGTCGAAAATTGGCTGTCTGGTTGATTTTCTTTAAAAGACAAACAATTTTATTGGCGTCGTATCCGCAAATTGCCAGAAAGGTGGTTAAAATGTGTAGAAAACAATAGCCAAAACTTTAAAATGTTTTTTACTTTCCCATTAATAATTAGTGTTTTATTTTCACGAAAAAAAAAACGCTCATTTCATACCGGGATACCTAATAAACGATCATACTAATTTCGTTGCATTTTCAGATCACAAAACTAGAGCCGTGGTTACAAGACAGACTCCTTATTGTATTCCGCGATACAGAAGCAGTTTTAGTTCTGGAACAACTCCTAGCGCAATAAGGTAACAAATAATCTTATACAGCTAGGAAGGTTATTTCTTTGTCCAATAATATGTAGATATACTTACAATTTAATTTCAAGGTCACGGCGTAGAGCAGTTGAAAATGCTTCGCCGATCGAAATCGGGTCATCGTCATCGGATCTGATAATTGTAGAAATGGATAGGGAAGTGTCAAACCAGGCAGTGCCAAGAGACACCATGTTTATGCAACCTGAAATTATTGATAATTGTCCAGAGAAACATCCCAGACAAGGTAAGATGATACACAAATTTTAACCCAAAGGTAAGACATACTAAATACTAATTGTATATGAATGTTGGACAGAAACCCAAAATTTAAATTCAATAATTATATTGAACTAAATATTATATATAATAACTAAATTGCAATATTATTATTTATCTAGCTCCTCGTCATCTGTATGTAATTATTATAACTTTTTTTAGTTGTCTACATTTGTACACCATGCAATTACAAATGCTGGAATTCAAATGCATATGCCTTTAGCTAACAAGTACTGTTATAGCAATCTTCCGCATTTGCTGCTATTATAGTTTGTCTAAATATGGATGAATTTTAGTATCATTGTCATTACCATCTCTATTTGGAATCGTCCCTTATTTTAAATAATAAGTCAATTATAGTTTTAGTTTTAAAATTCTATATTATCTAACCAAATATCGACTGTTCATAGTTGTACGTTATGCGCTTTTGTTACCGTCTCGTAAGAATAGCGTCAATTAATGACATTTACCTTTGCAATTTAATACTTTTTATGCGTGATTTATCAAAATAATCAACCTTAATATGACAAACTATAGCTGGTAACTATAACGATGCTGTGATTGCTGACTGCTGACTGATTTGCTTAACAAATAAGTGAATGTTTACGCTTTATTACATTGTATGACTAGCTGATCCCATGCGGCTTCATCCACATCACATTAAAAACTACATTTCATTGTTTACATTCTGTAAATCTTTTAAATGCAAATGTGAAAATTCAAACAATTGACTGATGCTTAGGTCATCTTCTTTGGTTAAGAATTGCTTCTTTACTGATAGTAGCTTTTGTGCCTTTCGCGCTTGATACTTTTAATTCATTCACCTCCTAAATTTAATAGCTTGAATATATGTAGCTTAAAACGTTTTGTTAATATAAGGCTTCTTATTTAAAAAAAACTGTTCAAAAATATCCTGTGATTGATGACATCCTGCACAACTAATTGTTGGTTTACGCTTTATAATATTAGGATAGATTAATAAGAAAAATGTGCATAGAATCTTTTTTTTTTCAGTTTCTTCAAATATAACTTTAGGAAATCCTTCATCGACACAAAATGAATCTGATCAATTTAACGAGTTAATAATGGCCAATCATGACAAATGGGAATGTGCTACATGTATTGGACTAAACGAGCGGACCACTACTATATGCTTTTGTTGCGGTAGCCTTGCACTAAACGCAAATATTGACTGTGGAGTTTCAGCAACCGCGGTCCATGGAGAGCCAACCCAATGCCCAGGGAGTAATGGACCAGTTAATATTTATGCAGGCTTTGGGTGCTGCAACCGACGCAGCCCACTCTTTACACATTGAGTGGCAACCAAAGTGGGTTACAATTTAGCACGGAAAGTTCCGACAATCAACAGGAACATGAAAAAAGTATTGTGGAGGAACATTAAGTGTTAAGAGACATTTTATATGTTATACTATTAGTAGAGATGATGAATATGTCATAAAGAGGGAATATTTGCATGCTTTTGATTATTTTCTTAAATTGCATGCGAATGATTCAATAAACCGCATGTTTTTTTTAATATCCAATAAAAATTATTTAAAATTCATAATAAAACTATATTTGTGATTGAAATTATAACACATATAATATATTTTTTTTTGATAAAAAAAATTATGTATATGGTTAAAAAATAGAAACGGTAGTGGGGGGGGGGTAGTTTCGCTCAATCGCTGGCCGTCGGTACCTCTATTATTCTATCTAATTTATTTTCAATGTTCAATAAAAATTATATCATATTGTATGCATACTCATGTAACTTTAATTTATAATAAAAGAGAGTCAAAAGGTATTAGCAGATGCAACAAGCAGCCAATTTAATTGTTATTTATTTTGTAAAATAAGTTGATTATTGATACGTAATTTATTTTCAATGTTCAATAAAAATTATATCATATTGTATGCATACTCATGTAACTTTAATTTATAATAAAAGAGAGTCAAAAGGTATTAAGAGATGCAACAAGCAGCCAATTTGATTGTTATTTATTTTGTAATTTGATAAGATGATTATTGATTAAAAAGAATAATTTATGTATTGGTTTTCATTAAATCCGAGGACCTTTTTAATCAATGCAATAATAATATTCATAGCCGGGAACAGGGATGTTACAGAAAATATCTTTTTGGTAACTTTACAATGTATGTATGGTTAATCCATTGGCCTGTTTGAACACTGCATTGGCTTTGTAGCCAAGGGCTTGTGCCCTCTTTATCTCTAGATACATAAAATTTTAATTTCACCTCAATGATCAAACTATCCTCTATGTCAATACCAGATTTCATCAAGATTTGTTCAGCAGTTTAGGCTATAAACTTTAATAAACACCCATTTAAACTTTCTCATTTATTTTAAGACTAGCTTTCGCTTTTTTTGTGATCTAGACTATGGCTATGCCAAATTTCATTGAGATCCGTTCAGCGGTTTAGGTAACAAACTCTAAGATCCATGTAGACTTTTGCATTTATAATATTAGTAAGACGTAATATTATTAACCAAAGAAACTTGCCTCATTTGACTAGTGCCCAAGTATAAATTAGTATAGAATTGTATTTGGTCTATACAAAACCTCTCATTATCTTTCAAAGAAAAACGATTTCTTAAAACAGTAACTTGCTGTTAGGAATAAGGATTCAAATAAAACAAACGGAATAGTAAACATATATTAAATTTTTTTATTAAAAGCAAGCACACAATTATGTTAATGTTAAAATATGTTTTTTCTGTGATGTATAGCTTTTAGAGTTCGTTTCCACTGTATATCAACTGAAATAATTTGTAACAGATTGTTGACTGTAGAAACCAAGTTATAAAACATTATTATTTCATTACATTAAAACGTTTATATGTTACGAATATATTCAAATTAGAAAATGAATATATCAATTAAATTTGAATTTCTCTTTAAATTAGTTATTTTAATAAAATTATAAGATTGTTAGTTCATTAAATAATCAAATTTTTTAAGGTGATGGTTACGCCATATTTTTATATTTAGTGAATAGATTGTAAAGAACCCGCAGTGTTGATTTGAGGTCGAGATTCACGATATCTGAAATCAGAAAATTTTAACTATAAATATTATTTCCGCAAGATCTCATTGATAATTAATAAACTAACTTTCAAAAACAAGAAGAATAGATAAATCTAACTAATATTATAAATGCGAAAGTTTAAATGGATGGATGCTTGTCAGAATTTATAGCCTAAATTACTTGACGGATCTCAATGATTTAGGGCATAGTCTGGAAGAACACATAAGCTAATCTCTTTTGTTTTATTTAATTACACGCGGACGGATCCGAGGGCTATAGTTAGTTTAAGAATGTTTATTATGGTCTATTATCTGCTAATAAATCTGAAATAAGAGACTAGAATAAAGATAAATTACCTTCAGGTCGGGCTTTTGGCTTTGCCAGTCCTACATCCTGCATCAGCTCAAAGGCAAAAGATACATTGTGGACTTTTTGATCAAAGTCCTGCGGAGTCAAGTGGAAGTCATATAACGGCACAAAGAAACCTTCAAGTAGACCCATCAGCAGGCACAAGAATACACCATCATGGAACTGGCTGTCCAAGTCGACCACTTCTAAATTCACTTTACTCAGATGTTTATTAACAAATGTTATCAGAGACTGAAAACAATTAAACAATTTAGGAAATAACACCAAACGAAAAATCCATCAGCTCAACTACTTTTATAGGAAAACATAAAAAATGCTGCTTTAACATTAGGCTCCGTGATCAAATAGTGTTACACTTGTATACAAATACTTGCTCTCTGTTTAATTCAGAGGGAATGAGAAGGATAGCAATATGACAGTGGAGATTTACCGAACTATAGACAAAAATCTCTATTACCTTCTTAACAACTTGCAACTTGTCTGGGGCATGATCAAACAGTGCATCAAATGCATCTCTTTCACACTTCATACCCAAATCATCATAAGTAGTGGTTATATCCTCTATATATGTCCTGGAAAAAGATAAATTAACTTTAAAGAAAAGATTTTTTTGGTCCCGGACTCAAATACTCTTAGTAAAATTAAATACAATATCTTTATTCATGCAGTAGTAGAAATGGCTAACATCAAAGTTAATTGGTTTTTCGTTTTGATTTTGGTTGTATTTTACTTTTTTTTACAATTATCAGTATGTTCGCACATCAGAAATCTTAACATATTACATCAGGCAGGCCTGAATCCTTGTAATGTTTATTTTACTATAATTGAGGTATCAAACTGAGAATGAAATCTAATACTTCATCTTAATAATATAAAGAGGAAAGAATTGTATTTTTATATATATTGAAATAAGTCAGAAACTACTGAGCCGATTTTAAAAAAAAATTCCCGATTAGAAAGGTAATTTATCTCTTAGTAACAATGGCTATATTTTTTAATTTCAGAACAGCTAGTATAATACTATACCTGTGAGATAGTTGATTAGGTGCATCTTTCTTCACAACCACAACATTAACACTGACATTCTCTGGCAGCCGCACAGGTGCACGGAAATGACGTGCCAAAGCAACTAACAGATGCAAAATTGACACCACATTCTTTGAGTGAACAGAGTCTACACTCCATTTTTGGGCAGGCTTTGGTGTTCCAAAGAGCACCTAAAATATAAAGTTATTTTTTAAATATGTTTATTGTAAACAAAAAAAATTAAAGACTTTATTTCAATTTTTTACTTTTCTATCGGTGACTTCATTATCTATACAAATATCTATACAAATGTTATAAAGAGAAATAATTGTGGATTTTATGTATTGATAAACTCAATAACTGGGCCAATTTAAAATACCCTATACCACTAGAAAGCAACATTATCTCTAAGTAAAAAAGACTTTTTTTTTTTAGAAAAAGTGGGCAAACGAACAGCACACTGCTTGATATTAACATATTATTTATTGCTATTTATTTTACGTGCGCACGCAAAGTCTTGAGCAAAAGATAGCATCCAACAAGCATCAATAATTTCCAAAATAGTAGTGTGATAATTAATAAAAATAGCAAATTAAAACAAAATAATTTACCTTATTCACAGCTCTCAAGACAATGGCCAACTTCTGACGTTGACCCTCTTCAGATTGCGTCACTTCGGGTACATCTAACTTTGTTTCCGTCAACTTTTCAAGTAGCTTTTGTAAAACTTGTCCATCATAAAGATCTTCACTTATATCCTTGACGATAATCCTTTGCATAGCAAGCTCATCATTGATCCAATCTATTAGTACTTGTATCAATTCCTTGACCCTAGGATCTTCCAAAGATCTAGGTTCAATAATGGCTCTCTCTTCGTTATCAACTGAAATGTCATTTATATCAGTTGGTACACTTTCAGTCATTTTAAATTAAATATATTCACAACCTCAGTCTACAAGTGTAGTTCACTTTACAAAATGAACTTGTTATCTTACTTTGACATAAGGATAAAATAAATGCTATGTTAAAAATAGATTATCAATCATAACAATTATCCTGTTTCATTGTTCAGTTCACGCTCGCTTTATGTTTGAACAGTAAAGTTAAACTTAGAAATAAACTGATTGTAAGCAAAATTTGCATATTCATTTGCATAGCAATAATTGCCTATTCTCAGTTTGTTCCTATGTTTAACTTTGTGCTTTGTGTTTATTTGTAAGGCTGTTGTTAAAAATGCTTGTGAATTTTGTAATTTCGGTGCCTAATATTAAACAAAACTATTTCAGTGAACAATGGATATCTATAATTATGCATCTCTTGTCATAAAATGTCTTGTGAGTAATTTTTTTATTCATTTATTAAGTCATTTTTAAAAGAAATATTCGTATTAAAAATGAATATAAAAATCACTAATTTGTAAAGAAATTTTCTGTAGTGATAAATGTGTAATTTGACATAGTTAATGTGAACTGCATATTATTTTTTATGAAATTTCTGTATGAATATTTAAGTTTTGACCAATTTGCATCCAGGATGATGATGATTTTGCCTTCATCTACAGAGTTCACTTTATAATAATCTCATTCTAAATATTTTTTTATCTATTCTACATTTTCGAATTCTTAAGGGTAGAAAGGAAGCAACCTATCTGATAATTCCTTGACAACTGCCATTAACTACTTGTTCAAAAATAATCTGACACACATTTTCTTCCTAGCATATATTTCTGTTAGTGTTATTTTAGAAACATGTACTATTCCAAAATAAGATAACATTTATATTCATGTATATAGGTATCTATTCCTTAAATTAAGATAACTGACAGAATATTACACAATTGTCATTAACAAGTACAATGCTGTTTAAAACAAAATGCCAACTCTTACATGCATACTGCTTTTAATCTGACACTTTATTCTTGGGAAGTATTACAACATACACTTTCAGTGCCTCAATTGATATCATCAGCTACTGGTTTGTCAATTTTGTCATTCACACTGGATTCCGTCTATCTAGTTAACTGCTATTGAAAATTTTAATGTTGTTTTTATACTATCAGTTATCTTCAACCTTGATGTTGGTAAAATCATCAAAATAATGATGGAACTATTCATTAAAAGAAGAAGTACAATATACAGATTTCATGAATGGGTATTTCTACTTTATTGATTCATCATTTCAGTTGCTTTTATATATACTTTACAGCAAGGTTAAGTGTAGGTTTTCAAAGTAATATCAAATAATAAGCGAATGACATATAGAATATAGACTTACGAAGGCTGTACTCCTCGGGAGGAATTTCCGGAGCTGTTGGGCTCCCTGGTGAATCGATTGCATACTTCCCTTCAGCTTGAACATCTTGTACTGTACATAAAAATGTTATTAATCACCATCGTTTAAATACTATTGTCATTTTTTTGATGTCACTTTCTATATTTCTGATTCATTCCAGTAAGCTGTAACATAACTACTTTTTTATTGGTTTTTAAATGCATTAAACCTCATATCTCTAAGAACTAAAATTAAAACTGGTTTCGTTAAAAGTTGAATTAGCGCAGCGTAGAATGAGGTAATCTACAATTTTACACAACACTTGTTTCGTAAACATTAAAATTAGAATGACTTACCTTCCTTTATGCGCTTCTTGCGGCCAATAGTGCCGATTTTGTCCCAAAAAGATTCTTCCTTATCTTCCTTTTTTGGCAAAACGGGAGTTCTGGGAGATTTTGGGCGTGGTGAAGACATCTTCAAGGAGAAAACTTTAACAAGGAAAATGAGTCATAAATGTGTGTTCACGACATCGTTTAGATCAACTCTATGTGCCTACAATGTTATAACTATTTAATATCAGTGATTTTTGTCCTTATTTATAAATGACTTGTAATATTTACCTCTAACTTGGGCAAGTTATACTTATTTTTATGTCAAACCAAAGAGTATGATACTGTCTGTACCATGGAATTAATAAGTACTACTAGTGATGGGACTCGAGTTGCTTTTTACTCGAGTGACTCGAGTCATTTTTATCTTACTCGGACTCGAGTGAAATTTTTGACAACTCGAGTTGCGAGTGACTCGTAACCACTTTTTTGGTTTATACCAAGCGGAGTAAGAAATTCATACAGCAATTTCAGTCAAATTTTTTACATTTTTAAAAATACATATTTCTGTTGTTTTGTTGAGTTTATTTAAGCTTCATTTAAGTTAATTTTAAAGCATGTTTGTTATCTAAATTGTGTAAGAACATAATAAAACTGTTCATATTTGGATTTCATAAAAATTACTTTTTAGAATAAATTAAAATGGATAAGAACTTATTAGTAGTACACTTTAAAAATTCAACTAAGAGTTGTATAAAAGGTTTCTTGATTATGTAGACAGGTTTAGTTTAAAGAAAATACTATTTTTACACATTTTGTTTAGATTTTTTGAGTAAAATTCATGATAATGTGAAAATGAATTTTTTATGTTAAGTTAATATTGTTGTATTGGTTTTAAAAGTTTGGTTACTCGATTTTTATATTCCGGGTGACTTGCGTCTATAAACATCACTCGAGTCTTATCTTCACTCGAGTGGCATTCGAGTGAGAAAATTACCAGTACCGAGTAACTCGAGTGAAAAAAAATCACTCGAGTCCATCACTAAGTTCAACAGGAGTGTGTTCTATCTGTAAATCTTGCAGTTAAAATAAAGAAAACCTTATGTTAAGGGAGTAAGAGTCTTGTTGCACGCAATATGAAATTGAATCCGAGTGAGATGTACAAGTGTTCTCTGTGTCTCTTTCTAACATTGACCTAGAGTTGCCAGACATCACCTAGAGCTGTCAGTTATGCTTAAAACAGTGCTGCCCATGGATGTACAGAGAATTACTAGAACAGGATTGAGCTTGAAAGATTGACGCCGAACGAGACCGCAATAACTGTCTGTTCTATCCCTCTCTGGCGATAATGACTATTTCAAAACATGATTTAAGGACAAATGTTATAAAAGTCCTTGTTTATGTTGTCTAACGTCAGCTGGTTATTGCTTCAGATGGATTTTAACGTATTAGTGTTATCATTAATGTATTTACTAGAAACAATACAAAATACACAAATCTTAATCAGACATTGCTAAATAAGTCTTGTGAAGTTTATGGCACAAACCTATCTTAATCCTTATATTTTTAATATAAAATTGAAACAAACGTCCGAGTTGCGATGTCAATTCACGTGGGATCTCAATTTTTAATATTTAGAAGTAAATATTTTTACTGCATTACATTACATCACTTACCTATTTTTCTACAAACAACGAAAGGACTGATATCTGGTAACTCTAGATCACTGTTAGAAAAGGAAATATCGGACACTTTAGCCCTCTTATTCGGTTTCAATTTCATTTTGCGTGCAAAAAACCTCTTACACCCTGAGCATAAGGTTTTATTTTCTTTATTTTAACTGCAAGAGGTAAATATAGATAGAACACACTCCTCGTATAAAAATTTCAGGAACTTTTCGATTTTCAATTTTTACTCTTATAAAAGTTGGAAACGACTGATTCATAGTTATAACTTATGGATTAAAAAAAATGAACTACAGAAATAAAACAAAGAAAGAGAGTTAATAAATACTTACTACTACAGTTGTACATAATCGGATTTAGCTATTATTATTGTTATCGTTATATTCTCTTTACTAAATTAATTACTAGAATTGTTCCCTAATTTGGTTAATAAGTAAGAAATAAGTTTAGTTAGGTTCGATAAATTTTATTTAATATTCGTAGTTGTTCGATATGCGTGTTCGTTTGTTACTATGATACCCGTCTATGAAGTACGGCATTTGACTTCATACAAATTTATTTCGATACTTTATATGCGTCATTTATCGAACAATGCAATCTTATTTAGACAAACTATAAGAATATTACCATATTATGTGTTTTAGGATGTGCAAATCACCCCATAATCCTGTTTCCTCAATTATCTTTTTTGAAAAAAAGCCAAGTAAAAAAATTATCGTATAGGTATATACATCTAGCTCAGTACTTTTGCATTATTTCTATTCTTTTCTATTAAATTCTATTCTATTCTATTCTATTAAACTATGAAAAGAAAAACTTACGTATTTACAGAAAAAAAACAGTTGTAGTATCTTTAAAAGTAATGAACTTTTAAAAAGATTACAAATATAAGAAAAAAATGAAATTACTAAAAATGAGAATGTAAAACATACACAGCTCTTTAATTTGAAAAAAAGGAAGACAGTATTCAGCGCAGTTACCATTATTGTCAACATTCATAATCAACATCATTTAATCATTTAATTGTTGTTAAATCAGTGGTCAACATGCATACATGCATAATCATCAACGAATTATACACTATACCAGTGGTCCCTGCGTTGAATACTGACTCCCCAATACTATATAACTTTGCGGTCTATATATAGTTAGCGATTAGAAAAAAGTTAATAGCGTGTTTAAGAAAAATTATTGGTTTTAGGAAAGTAGTTTCTAAATGCACTGATAGGTGGCGTAGTTTATTTTGATTTTCTTTTGTCGATGTTATAATTTTTATTTTGTCATTTGTAGCTCTTAATGAATAATAGAATACTTTTAATAATTAATTTTCGATATTTTTAAATTGCGTTTTCAAGTGTCACTGCAAAAATATGTATTTAGATATTTTATTTTGATGCAAACAAAAAGGGACCGGGGGTGAGATTCGAACTCTCGATCTTCACGTGTTCGGCAGCTCGTTTATTTGTCTTATGTAGAATAAATGAATAAATGCTATAATTGAATCAAAAAAACAAAAGATATATCGTCGTCGAAATGTAAACAACGCGTTTCGTTGCAGAAAATGATATTTAAAAAGAACCTAGTAAAATGAATTCAATAATTATTATTTACGTAAATAATTATTTATCATATTAGTAAACATTACAATATCGTAACATCATTTGCAGTGTTGGTTTTTAGCCTTCATTTGCGAAACGCTGGGCATTCACCGGCATTGTCCTATTTAGATAAACTGAACTGAAGAACTGAAAAGTGTTAGTTATTTGCTCAAAATTAATAGATCAAATAAATTGGTACCGTAAAATAGTATTAGCTAATGTTATATAGTTCTGCATTTTTAACTATTTTGACTTTTTATTCCATGTATACAATAACAAACAAAAAAGGTTTATATGATAAAACTAAAACAAAGAAAACTCCATTATTAAGTTTTAATGAAAATAGCTTTTGTGTGGGATTAAAAAATTGTCAAATCAGTCTCAATCAATGTTACTCTGAGTTATCAAATAGTATGATAAATAAAGTACTAGTAAGAAATGTGCTATTTTTAATGTATTGTTTATTTTATATTGTACCATGTCGTATACCATGACCTTTGTCTTGTAATATAGTATCCAACATATCATATACCTAGAGCACTCTGTTACCCAACAACTTGCAATCATACTAATATTATAATCATAATTCATACTAAAATTATAAATGCGAAAGTTTAGATTAATGGATGGATGGATGGATGTTTGTTTGTTACAGTTTGTAGCTTCAACGGCTGAACGGTTTTCAATGAAATTTGATATGGATGTGGAGGATAGTCTGGAAGAACACAAAGGCTAATCAGTTTTTTTTTTTAATTCCACGCGAACGGAGTCGCAGGAAAAGGCCAGTTTAAAATAAGTTTTTGGTATATATACCTTACAGTCACTTGTTACCTGTATTACAATATTGTCATCCCTTTGATTCCTTTTAGAGAACAGAGATAGGAATAGAAATTATACACTAGCTTTCGCAAGCGACTCCGTCCGCGTGGAATAAAAAAAATGCTGTTATTCCAAACTAGTCTCAACGTCCATGCCTTATTTCATCGAGATTCGTTTAGCAGTTAATGCTACAAACTCTAACAAACATCCGTCCAACCATCTTAACTTTCGCATTTGTAAAAATCTTTGAAGGATTTTAATTAAAGAGATTAGTCTATATCCATGCACAAAACAAGTTGTATTTTTTTGTAACACTGTACCCCACCTTACCTTACTTGATAACGTAATGCGTACGCCCACATACAGTAGTGACCAACCAAGACTGTCCGTTTGTAAATGTGCTTGTGCTGACACTAGTTACATAATTACCATAATTATTTTGTATTATCAAATGCAATAAAAACTAAAAGCAGCGTATTTCAAAGTTTTAATTTTGTATTTATAATTTATAGTCAACATCGTAGATGAAATGTAATCGCAATCTTCGCTCCGCCTCTGGTGATGTTAGCACAAAAAGATAACCAAACCCAGTCCACCAATCGCAGATCGCTTTTGTATTTAATGACAGTGACGCCATGATGTACACTCTACAACTTCCATAATCTAACCTAAACAGAAATTTTATAATGATCTTGTTCAGGATATTCAGGACTAATAGAGCTGTGAAAGTATGAGAAATTGGTTTTAGAAAAATGAAAATGAATTGGATATCAGAGATTTAGTGACAAGAACTTGATTTCTTATTTGAAGACCAAAGTACTATTCCTTAAATGTAAAAGTGATTGTGGCATTATCAAAACATTTCTTTGTTATTACTACTTAAAATTCTTAAAATGTATAACATAAATATTGTTATTCACAAATATATTTCTATCCAGTGATATTAATCTAGTGAATATTAAAGACATTTATTAAATATGTATACAAAAGGAATATGTTTATGAAGAATCTAAAACTAATTTATTAAGAGTATAAACCTGTCAAATTGGGGAAAAATAAAACTAAATTCATTGATAATTGTTTATTTGTTACTTGTATTGTGGAATTCAACTGTTGTGACACTTGTTTCATTACAGATTTGTTGTTGTCTCTGTTTTTTGTGAAACAAAATTAAAGGAGGAAAAAAGACAAAAATGTTAATATATTAGAACACAAGTGTGTCAACAGTGGAAATCCACTGTCAGTGACTATGTCTATTAAATCTTATCAAAAAAACAAAATAACAAAATCCAACATTGACTGGAGAGAAGTTATACAAATGTGTATCACAATACTGGCATCACATTTGAGCTGCATACATTGTATGTACATGAGTCAGTCGCTACACACTTCAATACACTGACAAACATTATATTACATTACATCATACAAATCTGTATCCTATATAGAATTTGGCAAAATTATTTGGTTACAAGAGAGGCACTGCTCAAAGACAAGTTCGTTAGAAAATATTAATAAATCAACTTAAACACAGAAAACATTGTACAAAACAAATAAAATGGCTACAGAGACATTAAATAGAAAGCAAAAGTAGGAATGACATTTACAGAATACAAATCCAGCTTGAAATGCATGTTAGGAGTCATGACCTAGTGGGTTACCGCTAATCTTCAACATACCATCTACATTGATTATGGTTTGTGTTCCATCAATTGAATATCTTGGGCTTATAAACTTATTACACATGAAAGGAATAGAACATGACTCGAATAAGCAAGATGTTCATGTATGACAATAGTTGAATGTCCCGCTGTCAACATACTATGTTTTAAGTACCATTGTTTCTGACACTAATGGACCTCAATTACACCATTTTTACTACTTTTTTCCATGTGTTTTTGTAATCCGAACCTAGGTGTATGTTATAAAAGCTATGAGAAATATCTACAACTTAAGAGTGGAATCATTTTATCCATTTTCTAGTAATAGCGGGCACATCAAGTAGAATACATTTTTATTATAACTGAAAGCTTTGGGATGGAAGATTCTTCTGAATTATATAAGAATCGGATAGCCATGTCTTGCATTTACCTCCTTAGAACAGCCAAACGATCGCAAATTATTTTAAGCGATAATAAAAAGTACAGCAGCACTTTCATTGTAAATTGTTGCCTTGGTGGTAGCCGAGGAGTAACAAAAGAGATTCTTTCCAACTGATTGGGCTTTTTATAGTAGGACATGTTTTATTCAATTAGTTCTATTTACCGGATAGCTACTTTTTAATGGACGTGTTCTTCGGAAAAATATCTGCTATTTGAATTGTAGATCTGAAATGAAAAATGTTAGATTCACTAGTTGTATTAAGCTATGAATTCAAAAATGTGTTTGTAATTTAAATATGCTACCTCGCAAATGATATAATTTCATGTTCTTTCGATCGTTCTCTTTTAAGAATTCAGTTGTCAACCACCTGTTGCAATTCGTATATATTTATTTACGTATTTATTTAATAAATAATTGTAGTACATACATACCTTTACACTAGTTAACGTTCAGATTTAGAAATAACGCACCGCTACACTTGAGTAATATCAATTACAAGTAATCACTAATTAATCACGAAAAAAGGAATAAGGGGTTTAACGCAACCCAACGAACTGACCTTGAATTTTAAAGAGACAGGATCTGTCAGGTGCGCGCGTTCTCCCGCATCATATAAAAACAAACAAAAAATATTGTAGCTGCTACGTAAACTACTATATGTTTAGGACAAAATTTTTTCAAGTCATAACAATTTAAAACAATAATACGATTTGTCACAATAAATAAAACATAAAAATACATTAGTTCTTTACTGTACTTTGAAAACCCAGAAATTAATCTATACTAATATTATAAAGAGGAAAGATTTCTATTTTTGTATGTATTTGATTCAGGCAAAATCTCATCATCATCATCTTCCTTATCCTACTCCCGTAGTGTCGGCGCAACAGGTTTTTGTCCTTCACATAACTCTATCATACGTCATCTCAGTCATCACTCTCTTTTGATAATCCTTTCACGCAATCCATCCATTACTTTCTAGGTCTACCTCTACCGCAGTCATAACTAACGTTCTCCTTGTAACATTCGATTCATCCCTCCTCATAACATGCCCATACTATAGTAACCTTTACCCGTTCCCTTCTCCACCTCTGGGGCTACTCCCAAACTTCCTCTAATATACTCATTTCGTATCCTATCCTTTTGTGTTACCCCATACATCCATCTTAACATTCGCATTTCTGCCACATGTAGTCTCCTTTCATCCGTCCCTTTTACTGCCCAACATTCCATAATGCCCTAATGAGCCGATTTTAAAAACTCCTTTACCATTAGAAAGGTATTTATCAGATAGTACCATATTCTACATTTTACCATTATTAATATTGAGGAACTAATATGTATTTAGAAACAACGATTTTCTGGATCCGGCGTTAAAAAATCGCTATGTTTTAACTTTTTTCGCCTTACGCTGCCTAAACCGTAAGAGGTAAAAAAAAAAGATATGTCAAGGAATTGTAGACCTGAAATAGTTCTACAGAAAGGTCCGCGAAAGCATATATCTGTTTTAACGGTTTTCTTACATAAACAACTTTTTTGTTTACAAAATGAATTAAAACATGCATTCTACATGTATCGTCCTTTTATTGGTTTCAATAATAATTCTTTTCTGTTGATCCTTAGCTGTTGACCACGTCTTCGCCCGTGTGCAGTTTTAAAGTTCAAAACTCACGTTCGCCCCTTTATTCAACATATCGCCTAAAGTAATAGTAAACTTAGTAGCAATCTACGTAATAACAGTAATCTTCGGTAATTTGTTCGCTGATTTTTCGGTTACCCTGATTGGTTGTGTTTAAAATACTGAACATCAAATTCTTCTGATAACAAACGCATTTATTAGGATCAGAATTAATATTGAAACCAATAAAAGAACGCCGCAAATAGCGTGTGGTTTTTAATTCATATTGTAAACAAGAAAGTGGTTATTGTAAGAAAACCGTTAAAGACAGATAAATGCCATCGCGGACTTTTCTGTAGAAATTTTTGAGATCTACAATTATTTCATACATCATTTTATATATCTCTAACGGTTAAGGCAGCGTAAGCGGAAAAAAGTTAAAACATAGTGATTTTTTTAACGCGGTGGTCCAGTAATATGTTGTTAATTAATAGTTCCTCAACATTAGTATTAATAAAATATAGCCTACAGATAAATTTCCTTTCTAGTGGTAAAAGAATTATTAAAATCGGCCTGGTAGTTTTTGAGTTATTTCAATACATACAAAAATACAAATCTTTGCTCTTTATAATATTAATATTAATATAGATTAAATTTTGTGTTAGGTAGAAGTGTCAACAAAATATAAAAATCTGCGACGATTCTCATCGTTACCTAATCTCTCGCGAAGAGTGCCAGTTACAAAAATTGCTGCTCTGCGCCTAGTCCGTCCCTTTATAGTCAAAGCAAACAGCAATCGATCCTTCCGTCGTCAAATGTTTCTGTCCAATCATAGGGTCCTATTGGCAAACATCAGAAAACACTTTGTTCTCGTTCCACTTAGTGATGTTCCAACTCGGGAAAAACGTAATTCGAGTTAACTCATATTAAAATCCACGTAACTCGGGTTGAACTCGAGTTAACTGGATGGACGAGTAAGTGTTTTTTTGAGTTTTTCCAAATTATTCCCTCGGCTTGGCATAAAATTGGAATAGACAAATTATATTTTTATCTGTTTCAATTCTATATTTTTTTATGTTATTTATTTATAATGTATTGGGAGAGTTATACCTACTAAATAAAGAAACAAAAAAAGTTATTGTTTCAAATCGAATCGTTTTTTAAGTATTTTTGGCTTTAATTTAAATAAAAATAAAATTTACTGTCAAATAAACTGAAATTATACAGCAATCTTTTTCTCAACAATTCTCTACCGATTTGTATGAGAATAATTTAAAAAAAATGAAGTGTGGAGGCCAACTTCACGTTAAAAATTATTTTTAAACGATTTGCATAAAACAAAGTAAAAAAAAGGAAGTGAGGGGGTAACTTCACAGAGGTCAAACTTTTCTTCAAAAATTCAACTCGAGTCGACTCGAGTTACGCCCAAGTCGAGTTGACTTGAGTTACGAACTCGAGTTGCCATCACTAGTTCCACTCATCTTTAAGAAAGAGATAACAATATGTACGTTTTTGTTCAGAAAAACCCACGAAATGATTTGTTTCTCGATGGTTTAGCAATGATGTATGATGTATGTGAAAAAGAAAAGTTCAGTTTTTTCTTAATTTTTCTTGTTTTTAAGTGTAAAGCAGTAATGATTTTGCAGCCTAAGTTTGTTTTTAAGAATGTGGGTTTTGGTTGCATGTAAATTCCATTGATGCCAATGCTTCCATAAAATGCATACAAAAGAGACAATAAATAAATTATTATTATTAATATTGGTGCAGCCTACAGCCTACACGACATATGTTTTATTGTATTACATTTCTTTTGTATTTTTTATGTTAATAGCGAATGAAATGCAAAATTTGGAATTATGGATTCCTCTTTACAATATAAGTATAGATTAATCTTACTAATATTATAAATGCGAAACCTTGGATAGATGGATGGATGGATGGACGTTTGAGAGTTTGTAGCCGAAAAGACTGAACGGATTTCGATGAAATTCATTTAGGCATTCACCAAGTCTTTCAAACATGAGTCAAATCAGTCACTTAATCTAATCTTCGTTCGAAAACATGCACTCACACATCCCACATACGTATAATTTTAATCTTTAAACAAATAATCGTGGTCTTTTCATTTACTTGTATTTTCTTTATTGTTAAGTTTGAAATCTTAAATCCAATAAATATTAAAAATGGTAATTGTTAAAACTTTTTCTTTCATCACATTTTTTCATGGAGTAACATTAAATCACTACGATGCGTGAAGTAAACTGACTGACAAGCATATGTCACTTTTACCCTGACATTCAATTGACATTTTGATTTTCACAAAATGTTTAATTTCGTAACTTTAGGTCTAATTGTCGCTGGGTCTAGCTCTATTAATTATTTTTAATTAATACTTTTGTTTCTTACAGACATCACAATGTTTACCTTCACCATAAGAACATTAAGTACATATGAAATTTTGGTACAAGGTGGGATTCAAGACCTAACATTACAAGTCAAATGTTAAAATGAAACCTCTGAGTCACTGACGCTTTATCCAGCCAGCTATAACCAGGCAACAAAACATTAAAATGTATGTAACCTTGTATATATTTTATCAAATCATGTACATCATTCAGATTCTTCCGTGTCAATGTCACCAGGACAAGAGGCAGGTGTATACAACCAAATATTATGTACCATGAATCAGCTTAGTTCTAGTTATAATATAATAGAGGAGCATCCATGACATCAACTCTATAAAGTTTTAAAATTTGTTAAAAAATGGTATATCAATTTTATTTTATCTATAAAAATATATCTAAAATAAAGTGTATTTTTATTGTTTTTTTTTTAAATAAAATTTTTTCACTCTGTTTCTAGAACTTGTGGTTTTACTTAACTTAATGAAACATTGTCATTAGCACCAGCACACTATACATTCCCACCGAGGGGTTCAGATCCTACCCTAAGTTAGGGGTGACTATGCCATAGTCAACCACTCTGGCCGGATGTGGTTGTTGGTTGACTATCATTGGGTATATGGTTGAATATCATTGCTGATATCTTAATATTACATGTGATGTTTTCCTTCACAGTAAGAATGTTGAGTAAATAGAAATAATGCAATGAAATACACACATCTTTTACCGAAATGTGACATATATACACTAGCTTTCATTCGCGACTTTGTTTATTTGGAATTAAAAAACATATGCCTATGTGTTTTTCCAGACCATTCTAAAATAATTTTATTGAAATGTAGTTTGAATCTTGTATTTTTAAATACATTTAGTTGGTGCCTTTTTTTAAAATATACATTTGTAATTAAATACTTGTAGTAATATGAGTGGCAAGGGGCATGCCGGTTAATTATTAACAAAATTCACAACTTTTTTTAATATAGTTTATTTCAATTTAACTAAAGTAAGTAGGTACCATTGTGGTTTTTCGATAAACCCAAGGTACATCAATGTCTTTATTTTGAGTAAAATTTTATCAGGAAACTCAGATCGCAAAGGCCGAGGCTAGGACCTTATACCCTAAATGGTTGATTCTGACAATCATCCCTATGCTATCGGGTTATGAATATTATTATCTACATATTGAGTTTGGGTACAATCTCTATCTCTCTCCCACTCTTGCCAGGAAAAAGATAGGCAACCCTACCTCAGAGTCATATTTACATTATGTATAAGTGGTGACAAAATTTTCAGGAAACTCGATGAGTGGTTTTCCTCCATAAATTAACCACTTCAGCTCTGTTAATTTCTAAATCTTTCGTTACAGATTCCGTTCTGTGAACATGTGATAACATTGGAGTGTCTGTATGCAAAATCTAGAATTTCAAAGAATATAAATTCTAATTTTAAAAAACTATAAAAGTATAAATGTATGAAAGCGGCTAATTGCATCGCCAACATAAATGCTTGTCTGTCTGTTTGTAACCATTTGTTCTGGGCAATCACCGATCCAATCCAAAATGTATTTTTTTCGGGATTTTCACTGGTGTGTAGCTGAAATGGACGGGCATATAAGATACTTGAAGGAGAAAGTTCATTGGAAATTAAAAAAAACTAGGTACAAATGGAACTTTTATTGACTTTTAATCAGTCTTATGTTGATTTAAAAAAAAAACTTAAATCTAAATTAGAGAGATGTGTGAAGTCTCTCATTGGTTGAATCTTTGGGTTAAGTAGAATTTAAAAATAAACTTTCTATCATGAGATCCGTTGAAAAGATTAATGTTTCTAACAAATTAATTTTCTTTTGCAAAATTGTACTTTCCACATGTTATACAACAGATATAAATGCAAACTGAAGGTAGACACCATGACTTGACAGACACTTTATATTAACAAATATGTCTAGACACACTTATAAAGAATCAAAACATAAAAAATTTGAGACACCTCAAAAATAAAAGTAATCCCAAAAAGCTTTCCATTGAATTGTACTGCCAGGACGCTTATCCTATTTACCAAAGCAAATGGAAATATTAAGCCTGTTACACACAATTCGGATAGTTTTAACTATATTCAAACATTTCAGATAAAACTATTGGAAAACAAAAATTCTACAAACAAAATATATAATAACTCACAAGCCTTTTTAGTAACTTATAGTAATATCATTCTTTACTGTAATAGGAATCAATAATGTAGGAAGCTGTTTATAGCTGTAATCAACAGTAATACAAGTAAGAACAAACTCTTAAAAACATAACCAGTAATGGTAATTATTTTCTTAAACAGTTTGAAAAAAAATCATCTTATATTAAACTATCTTAATCAGTTATAGTAGCTTTATATCTTATGAAGAAACTGAGGTAATAATTATGATAAAGTTATTATTTGTAACTTGTATGGCCAGGATGTACTTTTTAACGAAAAACAAGGAACAGAAATTGTTATGTACTTATTTCAAATACTAACACATAGTTTTATAACTTTACTAATATATCTTATATTTATCATAACATCAATAAATTTTATCACCAGAAAACTAACAATGAGTCAAACTACGAGAAATTTCTTAAAATTTGTAAATTCAACTTTGAATAACATTATTGTACCTTTAAGGCAACTCTAAACTAAACAAATAGATTTTTTCTTAAACGGAATGACTATTAAAAAGATGGCAGAGATTAAAGAATATTCTTTGTGCATATCTGTGTGTCTCGACTACGAGGGTGCTTGTGTTGACACGAATTATAAAATTCTCTTTTAAAGTTAAACCAGATAGCGTGTCAATACAGTACCGCAGCAGTGGAAACAGACAGTAAAAAGTTGGATATTGAAATTTAATCAATGACATAATGTATGAGATTAAGGTTTTTATAAGTTTCTATGGCCTCTTCCAAGTTCCAGTGGCAGGAGGACAGTATTTTTAAAGCCAAAATCTGCTGAATGCCCATGCTCTTTAAAGTCGCTAACTTTTCTTGATATTCATAGACTTGGTGTTGACCCTTGGCATATATGTAGGTCCAAAATTTAGCAGTCAACTCAAATTCCTCGGGATTGTTTTTGCATTGAATGCCAACATTTATAGCGAGTGGGTCATCTGGTTCGGGGGCAGATAGCAGCGCTTGGATGGACAGAAGTGTAGTCCTCAAAGACAATGCCGGGGACCATTTGTCAGCCAAAATATCTAAACATATTGACCCTTGAACTGGATGGATATTTGGGTGCCACACATGTGTTATAAATTTGACCTGCAAAAAGAATATATTTATTGATGACATATTTATAATCTATTTCCACCAAATTCCACCATCCGCATAGACATTTCCCTGTCCTATGCATCCTTAATGTTGCAAACATATCTATATTATACTATTGTTTCTAATTTGATCAAAACATTGATTGCATTCTACTTGTTTATTAGAAGACAAAGTTTAAGTTACATGAAAGGTACTGTAATCAGGTGGCAGTAAACAAAGGCAACTTAATATTGCTCATAGGAATGGTAGGTGCAAAATAAACATGCTACTGGTTGATGTGCGGTTCACTTTTGGACAGTACAGTTGGCCAATAGGGCTCAATAGCAACTGGCAATCAACAAGCATAGTGAAAACACTGTCAATAGTGAGTCCATACAATCTATGCATAGCCTGTGCAACTGTTCAACTGTACTGGCGAAGTGATTAAAGATGTATCTCAATTGGCATGGAATCAATTTAACTGTACCTCTGGCGGAGATATTGGATAATCTGCCTGCAGTTGGATCTTGAGGAAAAATCTACCGGTTTCATATGGTGTTAGGTGCGGACCTTTTATCCTGGCTATGAAGAAGTTCAGTTGCGAGGTCAAAGACTTTAAATATATTTGCTTGTCCTGAGACATCTGTGGAAATGCATAATTGTTAGAATCATCGTTTTTTGTCTTCAATTGTCCTCATAGGTAGAAAAGTAAACAACTGCCATTTTAGCATGATTGCTTTTTATTGTTTTCTCGAACCAATCCAAAATTATTTTTGTGTTCCTGATGAAAAATAAACGCTCCTAATACATAAAAAATTCTCGACACTAAAATTACTTTCCGTTTATGACCTATAAAAGAAAAATCCAAAAAAAAATATTAAATCGCGTTTTATTGTTAAGTTCTCCACCTACGGATACAATATGATAAATGTATTCATTTTAAATCACCAACATAACCTGGATACATTTTATATCAAAATGTTTAAGGAAGAACAAACATTCGTTTCTTAACTACGACATCAAACCTAAAAATTATCATAAACGAAATCATTAAAAAAAACGAGAATACCAAATAATAATTTGAAAATGCGCGTCATTGCTGCATACTTGTTATTTGGTCACTATAGGACTAGAAAAAGACTTCCCTTAGATTTCCAGTACTAAATCTACTCTAAAGAAAAATACTTAATGCCTAAAGCAGATAAGCCATTTTGTTTTTTTTTTCAATGGAAGCAAAGGGCAAATGTACTGCGTATCGCCTAATACTGCTAAAGTAGCACCAGGCTATTAATTCAGCTGCATACTGAGCGATTTAAACGGTGGATATTTAAAAAAAACATCAAAAAGTTCTTATGTTTTACTGCTAAAATTGTTGGGATATAACTGCTGCCATTTTGTTAGATTCTTATAAGTATATTCAAAAAACGAATAGAGATTAGGTATAGCGCAGTAGCTTTTGTTTTTTCTTCATAGAAACCGCGAATTGATGAAAAGCACTTTGCATACATTTAAAACTAGCATTATAAATTAATTTATACTACTCAATCGCAAATACATACCTGAAAGTCTCTCTGTATTTCCATTAACTCTTTTTGAACGCGCCTGCTATTTGACGACATTGTGGGTTCTTTCTTATGCTTTTGGTGATTTTACTGCTAATGGAGAAACTATTGATTTCTTAAAAACACGGTAAAAATTGACGCGATGTTGCTCTTGAGACAGCTGGCAGCAGAAGGAAAGAAAATAAATATTGATAGGAGCGAGTGGCTTATGCCGGGTTTACATGATGCCAGTAAGTAGGACAATGCTTCTCAAAAACAGTGCTGGCATACAACTAGCATAATGTAATCCAGACTTGTTTCGTCTAACGCTTACTTTGAAAATCAGATCTTTTGTTGTAGAGTACTAAAGGTTCTCCATTTTTTCTCCCCAGCAATTTAATTATGCGTTTATATTCTTATCGAGACGTTTTTTACCAGATATTTTTTTTTTCATCAATCTTATTCTTATAATCAAAAATAGGGAACACTAACTGGCGCTAGTGTATAGTCGTGTAGCAGGTCTGCGCTACTGTCCTGTACAATTGTACTTCCCAAATAAAAACATTAGGGGTGGGGGACGGGTGGCATGGTAAGTGGTAAGACGTATTTTCTCAACAGGTTCGAACATGTTTTATGTGCTTTTCAGTGTTACCATTGAAATTGTTTACCCGATCGTTACATTTTGTAAAAAAGCAGGGTAAAAATGAAAAAAAACAACATCCATAACATTTAGCTTTATCTAAATCGTTGGATTTTTCAGTTAAAGTGTACAAAATGTGTTGGCAAATATGAGAACTGTACCGTTTCTCTGGCGATCTAATTAATATTTTATTAGTTTAAAACTGCGCACTTAAATTTGTAAAAAAACCCATATCAGGTTTTGTTTTCAATGTCATGACTTTTGTACAATAACAATATGTGTTATGCCAATTTCATAAATCTTTTTTAAAATACTTAATATTACAATACTTTAGTAGACATAGACAGTAGAGATGTCATTTCCATCAGCAATCCGTTTGTTCCATTGTTTTGTGTTGTTAAATCTAGGTTTGTAACTGGCTTTAAACCATAGTGAAACAAGTCGATCGTTATTTTTAAGAGTGAGAGCGATGACAATATGTTATAGAATGTGTTTTTGGATAATGGAAACCTATAGATTGATGTCGATACCAAACGATCGATTACAGTCTACATTTCATTGCACTCCTAGTTCTACTTGGATTAATGTTTACCTTCATCATTGTAGATGTTAAGTCTGAAGGTAAATTAATGTAATACGCAAATAAACAGATATGTGCCGCTGTAGGTTCTGTCAACTAATATTTAAATATCGGAGTGGAAGAATATCTATTGCGTTGTAGCATGTTTAATTAACATTATATCGTTTTTGGTGATGATTTGATTTTCTTTTGGCGTTCATATATCAATACAAATATTGAGTTTGACAATATTTATTACAGATTGCAGAGAAAATAGAAGATTTTTTACTCCTAGTATTAAAAAGGCGAAACAAGTTCTTCGTATGCAGATTGATCTATTGCTGTGAATGAAACAAATACTGGCTGATTATAAAAGTAACTAGTTGAGAAGGAAAGGAACTTACTATGAAAACTCTGCTCCGCTGGAAAGAATATCTTTTGTTACTCCGAGGCTACCACCGAGGCAGAATGTGGTTTATAAGTTGTTGTTTTACTTTTTGCTGTCACTTAAAATACTGAATGATCGGTTGCTTAATTGTGAGAGATAAATACTTCAGACATGGTTATCCAAATTTTATACAATCAAAAATAATCTATCCCGAAACTTAACAAGCGCCAACCATATGATATTCTATTTGATGTTCTAACCATACTAGAAGATGTATTAAATAATATAGCATGTACATGGAAATGTTATATTTCTAAGAGCTTTTAGATTCAGCTTTTTAAGATAAAATTTAAGAAGAAGCAGGAGAGTTAACCAATTAAGAAATAATTAACTATGTTTGTAATAGACATGAATAAAGTATATTACACAAGTAAAATGGACACTCATAGTGCATTATTTTCCAACATTAAACTCAAATCCTGCAAATTGCTACTGGCTTTATTAGTTTTGACCTTCCCAACCCATAAAACCAAAGACATTCAATGTAAACTAAACCATAATCAATATAGTCAGTCGATGTTGAAGATTAGCGCAAACCCACTAGGTCATGACATGCATTTCAAGCTATCATTCTGTCTTTTAATTCAGTTTCACATAAAACAAAGACATCAACTAATGATACAAGGTTCACAACAGTCCACAATAAAACAAACAAATAAACAATTGTCAATATATTATATTATTGTTTTATTTTTCCCCAATGTGACAGGTTTATTCTCTTAATAAGTTAGTTTTACATTCTTCACAACAGTCTTGTCTCATACATAGTATAAAAACCCAATACTGCAAGCTAAACTTTTGAGCTCAAACAAATGAACCACTGGTTCAATATCTGTTATCAAGTTTGAAATCTGACTTTTGACGTCATAAAACTAACATCAATCCTCTGTTGTTACATAGTATCTTATTACTAATAATATATGCGAAAGTTTAAATGGATGAAAGTTTAGAGTTTGTCACCTAAACGGCTGATCGGATCTCGATAAAATTGACATACATGTAGAGTCTGGAAGAACACATAGGCTACTTACTGTTTTTTAAATTACATTAATATAAAAAAAAACAAAAGCATTGAAACAAATGCTTGTATAAGCCAAATATAGGAATAATTTTCAATGTCTGTAACATATTTTATTCTATCCAAACAATATATTTCAGATAGCATAATACTTTTATGCTGCCAATTATTTTTTTTTTTATATTTATCAGCTAATTGGTTTAGTAATTACTAGATAGCGCCACTGTTTTTATTAATACCTGAAAATGGTCCTAATGTCCTGTAAAAGTAAATATTGTTATTGAATTTCTGTTTGAAAGCTTCTTTCCTTGAGCAAAAGATGGCGCCTTAACATGGTTATAAAACGTAGCTCACTTGTTCTGTTTTTTAGGTGTTTATTGCTAGATGTTAAAGTATGTAGAATTATAACATAAATATAAATAATAAAGTAGTTAGTCGCAATGTTGTTTTAAATCTGGCTGGTAAGAAAAATCTCCTTTTAATATTTTTTTTTTTCAAAGTGACCTTTGTAGTTTTAACGTTTCGGTAATTTAAAATGTTAAACATGTAATGAAGTGGTATCTTTGAAGACGGTCGCTGGTATGTTATACTAATACGAAAGATTCTTAATAAAAATATCTATACAAAAATAGTATTTACTAAAAAAGACGGTGCAAAAATAAAATGACGAAATGCTAAGAAACTGATACTTTGAAAGCCAATAACAAACTTTGGCAGTAAAACAATTGAACAATAGTTCAAATCTACAATAAATTACGTGAGGATATCAAAAATGCCAAGTCCTTGCATAGTTTAAAAAAGAGACTAAGACAAAATCAATTCAATAAAAAAATATAGTACACTGTAATTAATTATTACATCGCGACGCAAAAAAGGAAAATAAGATAACAAAAAAAAAACCAATACAAAATAAAAAAAAATAGTAATAAAACTAAAAAGTAAATAACAAACATCACTTATAGTCGTAAATAAAAACAAATAAAAATATAACCTCTTTAAAAAAATGTATACATGCACTTAAATGTATAATAATGTGAGGAAAAAGATACGTTTTAAAAAAATAAAAAAGGAAAACATCAAGTATATGGTATACTTGATGTTTTCCTTTTTATATCTCGATGCAACGTAATAATAGTAATTCGTGGCTACCCATTTAGTAAATGTATATCAAATTGTCAGTTCGCTAGATCAAAATATTATATTTAGCATAAGTTGTTACCTTAAGTAGGTAAATTGTACAATTTTTATTAAGGTAAAGATAAAGATTCTTAAACCACATATTTAAACAAATCAAACAAAAAATAGGACCCATCTGCAAGCACTACCGTTTAGATAAAAAAAGAATTATCAAAATTGGTCCACTAGCGGCGGAGTTATGCCGTTACACACAAAAAAAAACAATTCATACAGACGAATTGAGTACCTCCTTCTTTCATCAGGTCAAAAAGAGAGTCATAGCGTCTACATCAGTGGGGGCGAGGTATGAAATATTCTCCATGGTCCTCTCGGGCTCGACAAGATTCAAACTTGCCGAGGAAATTGTCCCGGTTAGCAATGTAGAGTGACAGTATCTCAAACTGTCCTCAACAGTTTTACTGTGTAGACACGGACCCTCCCGAAAGTATATAGATGTTCCCATCTTTTATACTAAATAATTTAAAAAAGTTGATATCGTGATTCAGGAATCACAAAACATACGGAACGATATCCTGTTAAGAACATTTATTTCAAATTCTGTTCCTCGTCTATTTTAGTTCGGAATCTGGATTTTGATGTATTAAATAGTATCTGCAACCCCACCTTCATGGCTACAATTAGCTAGTTTTCAGGAAAGAGCAATAAATTCAACTATCACATGACCATAATGCCCGACCCGTACTAAAAACATTTTAAAATTAAAAAAAAATTTAACTTTCGCAGTTTCCTACGTAGTTGCTACGACATTTGCTACGACTAGTTTACAGTTAATTTTAGTAGAACAATTCAGTGCTCAGTGCATTTCTTTGTCGTTTGTTCTCCATTTTTAATAATTCCACGCGGACCGAGTCACCGCCGAAAGCTAGTAAAATAATAAAATTAATTTAATGTGCGAATATTAGTCCGTATGTTCTATGCTTTCCCCACTCCAAGTCAACAAAGCCTCAATAGCTCCGCCCTTAATGTCGAATTAACAGCGAGTACACACTAGGAGTTTTGAAGTCTGTTTTTTGGTTACTTACAATCTAAGGATATACATTCCCGTATATTTTTCTATGACCCATACACATACAGTGAGTGTTTTATCAACCGTAGTATGCGATTGTATGATACTACACGAGTATTTAAATAGTAAATCCAATTCGCGCGCCCTAAAACGCCCAGTTTGTACGGGCTGAAGCACACACAAACAAGAAGCTTGTGTACGATAGAGGAAACCTCCCCTTTTGCACACAAACAAACTTTAGGGAAAACGAACAGGAGTTTAAAAATCTTGTGGCGACACATTCGCACCGAAATCTATACTAGCGCTATCTGCAGTTACATTTTGAATCTTAGTGTAAGCTTCGAATATTATTCGATTCTTTCTATAATATGAGAAATGAGTTCTACAAGAAATCAAGCGACCTTTATTTTCACGCAAACGTTGGTGACATTCGTACGTCGATACACACGATGTCCCATACCTCCACATAGATATTGTTTGTACAGATATTTTAAGAACGAAAACATGAAACAATTAATCCTATCCAATTTTCTGATTGAATGTATTTTATATGATTGAAATGAATTTCGGAATTACAGAAAAAAGCTTGCTTGACATATCTCCATATATACGTTAGTAGTGATAGATTGGTATACTTCTATGTCGCAGTAGCCTTGATGTCTTCATGTTAGTGATCATTAGTAAACAATATTATAATAGATAAATTGATTGATTATATAGATATTTATATAAATTATTATTTTAAATACCGCTCGTTTGCTCCCTTTCATTATTTGAAAACTGAAGAAAGAAATAAAGTTGTAAATTATGAGATACAGATGGCGCTTTTCTTCGTCTTACCCAATTTGATGGCGAAGATAGTTTTCTATTTCAGTATGGTACACAGTACTCTGATTGACTGACGAGTGATAAATATTATTTTTTTAAAGAATATATGGCGTTGTTTACGGCGATTATACTTCGATTGGGACAATAGTAAATAGGATCTACACAATCTTACTAATATTGTAAATGCGAAAGTTTAGATGGATGGATGGATGGATGTTTGTTAGAGTTTTAAGGCTAAACGGCTGAACGGATCTAGATGAAATTTGGCATAGATGTAAGGTATGGTCTGGAAGAACACATAGGCTACTTAGGTTTTTTTTCTTAATTCCACGCGGACGGAGTCGCGGGCGAAAGCTAGTTAATAAATAAATTGATTGATTGACCAAATTGAATTGATTGATTGAATTGATGTACCAAAGTGTTATTTGATTTTTTAATTTCATTTGTACATTGTATCCGCCATTCTTACATCCAAGGAAGCCATCGTTATACAATCTGCGTATTTGAGAAAGAAATTCAAAGACATTGAAACTTACTACTTACTAGTCACTCAGTGAAAATTATTTTTCTTTGTTTCAAAGATAATGTATCTCAACATTATGGTACAATTTTTTTTATGAAAAACTGTCGTTTTTTGAGTCATCTATCTGGATGTTCTGAGTAGGCAGCGTGCATCGGTGCGTTTCCCCGCATATAACGGAGCTCCAACATTAGCGCCAGAAGGTAACCAAAAAAGGTGGCTGGCGCATATTACAAGGAGAACGTTAGTTGTGAATGTGGAAGGGAACTTCGGTAGACCTAGAAAGAGATTACATAAAAGGTGATATGATCAAAAAGGGAGTGAAGACTGAGATGATGTATGATAGAGTTATGTGGAGGACAAAACCTGTTGCGCCGACCATAGGGGAGCGGGGAGTAGTATAAGGAGAAAGATGATGTTGATTGTTTTTAAATTTATTCGTATATTTATTCTCTCCTGGACCCTGGCACTCGTTACATAATATTTGAGCTCTCATATACCTACCCTTTAACTGTATTTGTCTTTAATTCGACACAGACAGTAAGAACTGGAATAAAATCAATTTACGCACATATAAAAAGGAGCCAACACATGTAATACTTGTGTAAATGTAGGAGGGATCGTGTTGGTGAGCAACAGGCATCTATGCAATAAAATAATAAAATAATTTAGTATACGCCGGCATATGGTCGGGAGCGGTCGTGTGATTTCGTTGGCGGATGCTCCAGGCTCGCGTTAATGCGCGCAACAATCTGCGACGCTATCCCTTTAGCAGTTTGATGTCTGTTGATTGATAAATTAAAATCCTCGCAACGGCTGCTTAAGTGTTAACTTTTATCTATTAGTGAAACTGTTCGTGATAGGAACGATTATATCTACCATAAGGTAGGCCTGATTGACTACACAAATACTTAACATAACATATGAATTAACAAGTATTAATTGGATTCATATACCACATATTAATTCTTCACCTAAAAGGATTAGTTTTCATAATAACATATAGAGTTTATCTCGTCAACAGACTACCATATAGATTGAATATGTTTACACACAAAGGCGCCTAAATATCCATGTATTGTTATGTAACATAGCTTATAACATCTTTGTGATGGCTGATAGGGGTATTGTATTTTTAATGACCCATATATACGTACTAATATAATAAAGCTTCTCACACTTTTTGTAACGTAGGATGTCAGACATCACAGCATATATCTGAATAATCCTTTTTTAAATAAAAACTCCTACACTTATGATACGCTATAGGCTAAATATTTTATGCTATAAAATTAGGGGGTGATTGAAATGGGAAAAATTGTCATCTGAGAAAGGGACAAAAACTGCAAACCAATAACAGTAAAGAATCAAAATTGCCATGGCAACGGTATTTGTTATGCAATGCCATAGGGATCTGTTGTCATTTGAATACTAGAAATATATTTTAATTGAAAGTTATTAATGTCTATCTTTTTCTTTTAAATTTCAAGATATTCGACCTCCTAGGGGAAAGAAGAGAAGTAAGGAGTAAAAGGTTAGCATGGTATGGGCATGTTATGAGGAGAGATGAATCGCATGTTACAAGGAGAACGTTAGTTATGAGTGTGGAGGTACACCGGTAGAAGTAGACATAGAAAGAGATGGATGGATTGAGTGAAAGGTGACATGATCAAAAAGGGAGTGATGACTGAGATGACGTATGATAGAGTTATTTGGAGGACAAAAACCTGTTGTGCCGACCCTACGGGAATAGGATAAGGAGAATGATTAAGATCTTGCCTCCTGGGGGAAAGATTGAGTTTTATGAGGATGTGTAAATGATGTTATGTGAATTAAATCGCTGGCCATCCTCAAGTGGAGTAGGGAGTCACGGGATCTTCAAATAAACGCACCGGTACTCAACACTGGGCTTCTTCACAACCCAGGGGGCACTGAATACCTCGTGTTTTTGCAAACTACGGCATCTAAGGATCACACCTTGGTGCAGTCTTCCCGAAATCGTTTGGAAAAGCGATCAAAGGTTATTTAAAAAGATTTCTAGCTGTTTGTTTAAAACTTATTCAGAGTTTATGAGTTTCAGTGATTGTAGTTTGTGTGAGTAACGATTTTAATTGGAATTCAGAATACTTACGACAGACCGCCTGGTTCCTCGTCATCTAAATAAACTTTAGTTGTTAATTTATAATGACTTATTGTGTACATTCTTATTATTTTTTGCTTTTCGGTTGCTAAAGGCCTATAAAAATATTTGAAACCCGCCCAGCAGTATTTGAATTTATTCATTACATACAAATCTATACTAATATTATAAAGAGGAAAGATTTGTAATTTTGTTTTTATTGAAATAATTCAAAAACTACTGGGCCGATTTTAAAAATTCTTTCACCATTAGAAAGGAAATTTATCTGTGAGTAACGTAGGCGTAATATTACTAACGTTGAGGAACTATTAGTAAACAACATATTTCTGGACCACGGCGTTAGAGATATATAAAAATGATGTATGAAAGAATTGTAGATCTCAAAAAGTTCTACAGAAAAGTCCGCGATGGCAATTATCTTTAACTGTTTTCTTACAATAACAACATTTTTGTTTACTAAATGAATTAAAAACCGCACGCTATTTGCGGCGTTCTTTTATTGCTTTCAATATTAATCCTTATCCAAATAAATGCGTTTGTTTTTAGGAGAATTTAATGTAGAATAAAATTGTCCTTTCCAATATTTAAATCGGACTAATAGTTTAGAAGATATCGCGGATACAAACAATAAGGGTAGCCGAAAAATCAGCTCAAACTATCGGGCTTATAAATATGGAATCTTACAGAGATTTTTGTTACTGTGTAAAGGTTTAAATAAGGAGTGAATGAAAATTTTGTACTTTTCAAATTCCACGCGGACGAAGTCGCGGACAACAGCTAGTCTTTTTATATTAGTACTAGCTGCGCGGAATTAAACTTAGCACCCTACGTGTTCTAAAACCTGGCAACGCATCTGTACTTCATATGTTATTGCGAAATTCAGGGCGTCGTTGTTCATTACTGCAAACTTCTTTTACAAAGCCTATGGTCTTAACAGTACCAAATTACAAGACATACATCCATATATTTGTATTTATAATATACTATCATTAGCCCGCGACTCTCGCCGCGTGGAATTTACAAAAATGAGTAGCCTATTTGTTTCAAAATTATCCACAACACCTATACCCAATTTCATCGAGATCCGTTAAGCAGTTTAGACTACAAACTCTTAACAAATTTCCATGCATCTTAACTTTCGCATTTATGTTAGAAAGATGTATGATAGATTAGTTTTCGTATCCACTGTCTATATTATATTTTTGCTTTTTATTAAATTTGTTTTGCAGTATACTTACGTAAGTTGTCAGTATGCTGGCGGCTTACTGTGGACACCCTCTGCCCCGCTTTGGGGACATAGGAAAAGAGTGAGAGAGGGCGAGAGAGTGTGAGGGGGGAGAGGGAGAGTATACTTACACCTATTTCTTATATTCAAAGTAATGAAGGCATAGAAATAAAACATTATTTTTCTTCAAAAAAGTTTATTTACATAACATACATAGTAACTGATAAAAATAGGTTTAATCATAAAGCTATAGCCATATATATATAAAATAAGATATAGTTTACAATAGTGATGATCATTAAAATATAAAACCCAAAACTTTATCTCGTAGTGACACAATTTAAGATGTTTGCATTTACTTTATTGAAAATTTTCTGTAAATATTTTGAAATTTACGCAAAGACCACACAACTATCAAAACAATTTTCTTGATTTTTCCACGATACCGATTTAATTTGAACAATAATTTCTCAGAGACGATAGATTCCGTAAAATTAATTTATATTAAATGTAACTTGATGGACTATTAGCGGCAATAATTGTATTAAAAATGAAATATTGTTTGTACAACGCAAACAAACAATTTTAGGATAAAATGAAAATCATATAAAATAAATTTAACATTAATTCAATATGTAACAATAATATTCAAGACGTCACGATCTAAAATCCAAACATCCATAAGCTGTTATATTTCAAACACATTTCCAACGAATAAGAAGTAAAATAATGGCTAAAAATTAAAAAAGAAAACATCGCTTTCATAAGTTAAAAAATAAAATGTAGAAAAAAAATGTAAAACATATTGTATCGTGCACGAAATATTGATTTATTATTCCATTGAGAATTTCCACTTTGGGGTCAAAATTAAAAACGGATTAAAATAGATTATAAAAACAAACACATAAACGAAGGTACTTACCTGGGGCGTTTGCGTGCACGCCCTTCTCTAAAACAAGCATATTCATATATAACCGATTTGCAGTTAAATCGATTCTTTTACAATTATTATAGTAGACACGTGACCGTGGGGCCGTGGGGCCGAGGGGCCGCGGGGCCAAGGGGCCGAGGGGCCAGCGCACATCTCATACCCCGCTTCTACATGCATAATCTTTTTTTCCATTTTTTATATAATTTTAAACTGCTATTAAACAAAATATAATAAAACATTCAATGAAGCGTAGACGCGTGCACTGTCCCCCGTCAGTCGCCACATTCTACTATATAGGACTATGTTAGTATTTTAGTATAAAAAAATATAGTAGAAAGTAATGTTGGGGGAGGCCGTCGCGGGGGGTGCTGGGGGCGCGGGGGGCGCGGGCGGCGGCGGCTGCTGCGGTCGTCATTCCTCGCTGCAAGTGTCCTCGTTGTCCGCTTCTCGGATGTTCGTGAAGAACGACGTCAGCGCCTTCAGCATCACCGCTGCAACAAACAGTCCAACTATTCAATACTACATCTTACTAATATTATAAATACGAAAGTCTAGATAAATGGATGTTTGTTAGTTTGTAGCGTAAACAGCTGAACAGATTCTCATGAAATTTGGTACAGATGATGTATGTATGATGATGATGTAGATGGTAGTCTTGAAGAACACATAGGCCACTCAATTTTGTTATTTTTTTTTAAATCCATGCAAACAATCACGGAAAGCTAGTTAACACATATTCAGTCACTGTTTCAAATGTGTAAAACATTTAAAATAAATTAATAAATAGATAATCTACCAAAAGAAGATAGAGAAAATACAATTATTTGTGTGTGGCACTCACTCAGCGACCGACAACATGAAAAAACGAAGCCAAAAACCTTCATATTTATCAGAAGTGTTCCAAATATATACAAAGTTTTCTAGACAGCAATCATACCCAATTATATTATTATTATTACATAATTTAATCCAAAGTTCGTCCAAAAGCAACATTATCAACAAAAGTCACATAGTCAAACTTAGTTCCTATTGATTTCAAATGTCATATGAAGACTATTCCTATCTCTGTTCTGTAAGGGAATGTGAGGAATGACAATATTATACAGGTTTACGACTTCCTCCAAAAGGCAGGGTATCTTTTGAAGATTTCCCTCCCATACAAAAAAATGTTATAAATGATAATTGGCTGCATACATACCTTTTCCCTCGGGTTCCTTTTCGCTTGTCTCCCACAAAATGAATCCTTCCACGGAGATGATGTACTGCTCATGGAGATATTGGAATATGTCCAATGTTAACCCTGAAATGATGCATAATATTTCTCAATCTTAATATACTACATATAAACAAATGAACTGTACAATAACAACAGTATTATTCACAAAGATAAGTTAACATTGTTTACTGATGAATCAGCTATAAAGATTGATGCAAAACTATCTTATTAACATTGTTTACATGCCTTTGCAATTGTAAGACGAAGTTCTAAAACTTAGTATACTAGTCCGACAGAGAAGGAGACGCACATAAAGAGGTTATTTCCCCTTCCTATGCTTCTCCTCCACTGTCAAATCCACTTCCCCTTTCCATCCTCTCCTTATAAGAAAAGGGCGGTAAAGAGAAAGGGACTTAAATTAGGCCTCTGGCACCACACTCCTCAGACGAAACACGGAATTACTTCCATTTCACGCCTGTCTTAGGTGTGGTCGTGGTATTACGCCGGGCGTGCCGGCCCTGCAGTGCTAAGATGTTAAAGCGGGTTTTTGTATGTCATTAGTTTTAGACAACTTATTTAATTGATACTGTCACTTTAAACTCAGAGCAACACTTCTCGACAGGACTTAGGATGCGCGCCAATCTATCCATACTTGTAGTGACATTGACAGCTTTCAGCTGTCAGCTAGGGACGTGACGTTTATGCCGATAATCTAGAGTTGCGCCAATTCCACAGCATGGTACTCATTTTGTTCCTAACATTAGAAACTTTAGTGTTTGAAATAAACAAGTGCACTAAAGCCGTATGCAAAACATGATACAAGTGAGTTTTGTATATTTGCAATTATAATCTCTAAAGTAGAGGAACATTAAATCTTTACATTATGGATAATTACATTTGTACAATAACAATTGTTCAGTTTTAAATTAAATTAGGAACGATAATATTTAGGGTTTAAATCAAAACTATATGAACATAGGTAATGCAATTATTTACTAGACTGGGCAAAAATCTGCAGATCCAGTTTTCACCCTGCTATATACCTTTGTTTATAGACTTCACATTCGAAAATGTAACTAAATATTTAATGTAATTATAACTGGTAATGTACATTTATCAAGTATTCTTATTATAAGAATATTGATTCAATCTGCTCATATCTGTAAAGGAATTCAAATATTTGTGAAGTGAACCCGCAGTGAGCTTGTGCAGTCGAATAGTAGTCACTCCAAGGGTAGGTTTCAAGCCTCTCGATCAGGACACCTAGTGGGCTGATGATCGATAACCCAGTATTCTAACCCCAGTGGGGATGTGTAATTTTTTTTGATTTTGTGACATAACTTATTTATTTAAAACCAATTTGTGTAAAACATACCTTGCGGGTGTTCCATACGGTGTACAAGTCTCTGCACAGCCAGCAGACAGTCCAGTTCACTGCGTGCTGCCAGCTCGTGCAGTAGTGGGGCATACTTGTGCATGCGGTCGCGGGACAGCCGACGTGCGCCCTCGCCACCGAGTAGTGCGTGCGAACACACCGCCGCCATTAGGGCACGAGTCACCCATTCCTCGTCACGGGATGCCCCAACGTTATCCTAACAAATGCACATAATTTACATTTAGCTGTAAGCCGTAGAGAGCTGTAGAACAAGGCTGTAGTTTGAGTAAAATTTGAGGTAGGGTAGACCAGAATTGTCATTGATTTGCCCACAAAGTATGGGCTAATCAAAGGCTAAAGGGAATTCTCTATCACATGTTACAACTATTATATGTTTGGAGAAGTTTAGATATCTTTGGCTAATACTTTATCTCTCAAACTGTGATAAGACATTTTACTGATAGTTAATGTTAGTTTTTGGTATTTCCAAGATAGGGCATTTTACCACAAAGCCCCATTAGGTATGGCCAAGGTAAAATGTTAAGCAAACTAGAATGTACAGACAAAAATATAATTTTAATCATCTTATTAGATTATAAACTATAACAATGTCTTTTTAATTAAAATAGTCAAAGATGACTAATATTAACATGTACTTATGTATTTAAAAAGTTAGTTACCTGTATCCATCCGCGCACACATTCGCAAGTCTCATCAGCGTTCATCAACTGCAACAGTTTGCTCTCAACCTCCGTAGGGCTCAGAGTCACCTTTGATTCCTCGCACGGAATGTCCTTTACAAGATACTCTAATTTATTATCTTCTAACCATTTAGGCACCTGGAAAATAAACAAATCATAGTTAACTTTTGTACCATTTGCACAGATTAAAAAAAAAAAATTAAGTAGCTTAATTTCTACATATATGAGAAATTGCGATCTGTTAAACCATTCTGGAATTATGTCCTAACATGCATCTAAAATTTAAAATATTAGTTCAAGTAAAATTTAATGTGAAGCCCAATTTTCTATTCTTTCTGAGTAGGAATAGATTTACAGTCATAAACACCACTGTGTGAGCTTACCCTAACTAGGCTTTAGTTAACCCAGACTCAGTGACATTGAATTTTGCAGGTTTTATCATATTTTCCTTCGCTCTAAGTTACATATTATAATTTAAATACTAACTTGATCCTCATTCATCCATTGCTTGAACTCTAATCCCGATTCCTGCCATCTGGTCTTAACAAATGACACTCCCATGCTCTCCTTGAGGTTGCCTATGATAGCTTTTAATATCAAATGACCATGTTCTGCGGGAATAATTGCCTTCTCGCAAAGTTTAAATACTTGAGCAAATGTGACATGCTGAAAATACAAAAACAATCAATTTATAAAATTACAACTAAAATGTTAATATATTACTGAAATTACAATTTTTTATAGTATATTATTTACAATATAAATGGTTCTTACCTTATTTTCAATGAGCGGTGTCATAAATTTACTAAGGTAGACATAGAGCATGGGTATATCAATGTACAGGTCGGGCCCAAACTCAAATATCTCGGAAATGCCTGCGATGAAGTTGCTCGCAGACAACACATTCGAGTTTACAACATGGAGAATTGTCTTCGCCACTGTATCAATATCCTTTGCTGATCTGTTCAAAAAATAATTATTCCTGTTATACTTGTATTTATATAATAATAAAATCATTTTGGAAGTAAAAATCTTTAAATGCTTATTATGTTAACAATGAAGATATCATTGTTTTTCAATAGTCTTACAAAATAGTATGAACACTATTTAATTTGAATTTATCAAACTACCTGTTGCTCATGACTTCACCCATGTGATGATTACATAACTTTTTAATGGTGAAGTAATTTTTGAAGTCAGCTTCAGTAGTTTTTGAGTTATTTCAATACTTGCTAGTATAGATTAGTATAATATTGCTTACTTTTCAAGTACGATATTAAGGATTTCTGTGACGAGTGCAGCATGGTACTGTGTCGGGAAGGCATGTTGTATCTCATTTACAACGTCTACATTGTCCAGGTTGAGACTTAATCCGACCACGGATCTGACTGATTTCTTCTTCTCTTCTGGCAGAGGCTCCTGCGAGGGCTCCGTAGGCTCTGCCGCCGGCGGGGGCTCCACTACCTGC